TCATTTTATTTATATATTTTCTAATTCTAGGAGAATGATTAGGATTAGTATTATTGCAACTAGCACCTTTACTATTTTTTAAAAATAGGTTGGTTATGCCAAATAAACTTTTAGGAGTCATAATATAAATACGAAAATAAATTAGAAAAGTTAACAAAAATAATTAAACACACAGACGAAAATAGAACGCATAAAGTAAACACAAAAATTAAGCACTAAAATGATACGTAAAATTAAATATTTAAATTAGGAGATGGAACGAGTGCACCGTGATTAAATATTAAAACTTAAAGAAATTGCCCAAACAATTGCTTAAGATACACGACGAATTAATTTGAAGCTTGAAAGTTGCTCCAAATATTAGCCCAAATACTTGAAACGTAGTTGATTATGAGAAAATTGAGAGAAGAATATAGATAGAATGTAAGAGATCTGAGAGAGAATGATTGATTTTTGTGAAAAAAAATAAAGAATGATGGGGGGTGTTTATTATTAAAAATAGGGCCAAATTATAATTTAATAAATTTAGGGGTTAAATTAAAAATATGGGTGGGTAGGGGGTGTTTTGGGAGGGTAGGGGCAAAAAATGGCCGTTTATAGCCGTTACCAATGGCTAATTTTGAAAAAAATATCGTTGGCCAACGGCTCGTTTTTGAAAATAAATAATTCACGCGGGTTGGCGGGACGGGACCTTAACGGGCTAATCACCGAGATAAAATGGGCCGCCTGTCCCATCCCATGTCCCGTTTAATATAGGCCTAATCCTATTTAATATTTAGTGGGCCGGGACCGGAACTAGGATGGGTCGACCCGTCCCGTTGGACTGCCATAATTCAAACAATAAAAAATATAAAGATATTAAGTTGTATTCAGTTTACTGTATTTAGTTGTTGTTACTTTTAAACTATAATCAATTCATCGTATTCAATTAGCGGTATTCAAACAACAAAAATTCAAGAAATATAGGGATTTTCTAAAAATATCTCCTTCAGAATACGTAAAATATAGGTAAAAACACAAAACATATATTGTATTTACATTCAAAAAGAAAAATACACTCAAATCTGGCCAGATCTGAGCCGGCCAAAATTGAGAAATACAATTAGAAAATACAGCAAAATAAAAATACCCAATATTTATTTTTTTTGGTTTAAAATGCTACTTTATATTAATTAATCTTGCAGTACAGGGAGTGTCTGCGCTTGGGCAGAATTACAAAAAGTCCTAGGAAGATTACTATCGGCACTATTGTGTCTTGTTACACTATGACAAGTACTATGACTAATATTGCGGACGGGCTCATGAAGTAAGTTTTTGCTAGATCCAGTGCTTATGGAAGGCACGTCCAACATTGTACAAAAAGTTTGTGGTGGTCCATACATAATGGGATTTTTTGTGCTACCCATTCTAAGTTTCATATGGCCCTACTTATCTTCCATAAGTTGCCGCCAGATGAAGTGTGGAGGATCTGTAAAAACGATGATGGTGCTGCCCGATAAATCCATTCCAAAATGTGCGAGTTGATCTGCTACCATATTTTGCTCCCTGTATGTGTGTCTTACTAGAGCACTACTCAGTCGCTGGATCAGGAATCTGCAATCAGTTAACAAAAGTAAGTACATTATGACAGGGTTGCGCAGCATAGATATTACCCCTTGGGGATCCATGTGAATTTCCAGTGGAGTTAGATTGTGCGTGACTGCAATTTGCAATCCACGTAGTAATTCCAGAAGTTTGATATCTATAACACTGGTCAACTGATGATGTCCAACATAGCCCATTACCCAGTTTCTTGTGGTATCTATGAATACTCTACCAAATCCCGCGTGTGGTTTTATTGTACTGACTGCCCCATCCGTATTCAATCTAAAGATTCCAGATTGGGATGGGTTCCATTTGACATGCATAGGCAATTTAGTTCGTTTATGGGTGGAGGAGTTTGCTAGATAGTGATATTCATTAGTTAGTTGATGAATTGTCGTTTGAAAGGGAATGGCATCTGCCTGAGATGTGCCACTTTGGAGAATGAGTTGTTTAAGCCACACATGATTTGGAATTCGTTCAGTGTTAATGATTGTATAAGGTACCCTAGTTTGAGGTCTTGCCAGTATTGATTTGTATTTATACAATGTAATAATATATGGCTTATAGACTCTTCTCCGGCTTGGCAAATTGTGCACATGTTAGAGGAAGTAAGTCCCAACTTATGGAGGTAGACTTTTGTAGGCAAACGATTGTGGCTGATTAACCATAAGAATTGTTTAATTTTTGGCAGCATATTTATTCTCCAAATCCAGCCGTGATTATTAGCACCTTGTGTAGACTTAGTGAGTGCTTTATAGAACGAACTTACAGTGAAATTGCCCGTGGGAGTTAGACCTCATACGATATGATCAGGATTTATTACATAAAAAGGAAGATAAGTGTTGTTACTACTGTCAGTTATATATTGAGGTAATTCGAAGGATAGGTTGCTGGGTGGGTAGTTATTAAGTTGGAGAACAGTAGCAACGATTAGATTAACTTCGTTACGATTAAAGGCCCTTGAATAAGGCTTCTAATAGTGGTGTTGGGAGAAATCCAATTATCAGTCGAAAAGCATATATGGGTACCTCTTGTGACATGCCATTGTAATCCAGTTTGACAAATCTTCCACCCATTGATAAGATGTTTCCATAAGATGGAGGTTCTTTGAAGAGGGTGCTTAGGTGTAGTAATGTATTTAGAAATTAGAAAGGATGCCCAAGGTGCTTTTGGGTTATGAAAAATCCTCCAAGTTGTACCGGCTAATAAGGCATCATTTTTATCCTTTAGTCGTTGAATACCCAGTCCTCCTTGTTCCTTTGGAGTAGTTACTTTGTTCCATTTAAGGATGTGAAGCTGTCTTTTCTGAGATGTAGAACCCCAAAGAAAGTTCTTTTGATAGCTTTCTAATCTTGAAATTAAATGTGTGGGAAGTGATATAATTTTCATTATATGATTGAAAATTATATTTAGCGCCGCCTTTATTAATGTAGTACACCCAGCCATTGTGAGCTGGTTCGTTTTCCAGCCTGCAAGCCTATTTTTGAAATTATCAATTATGAATTGAAAACCTCTTTTGGTGGGCTTTGAAGTGAAGATAGGAAATCCCAGATATTTTTCAAAAATTTACCTTTCGTCTTATTAAATGAAGAAAATATGAAATTCTTATCAGCCGTTGAACAATATTTAGAGAAGTATACTCTTGATTTTTCAAAATTAATTTTTTTACTTGAGTGCTGAGTGAATTGGTCCAGTAAATCAATAATTTTATGACAACTAGAAGTGGTTATTTTGGATTCCAAGATAATATCATCTGCGAAGAATAAGAGGGATATTTGGGGTGCTTTAGTGTTCAAGGTAATAGGTTTTCATTGATTATAATCTACCGCATTATTTATCCTCCGAGATAACATTTTCATGCACATAATAAAAAGGTATGGTGAAAGCGGGTCACCTTGCCTAATACCTCTAGATGGTGTAAGAAATTTATGGGGGATCTATTAAAATGGATTGCAGTAGATGTTGTGGAGACATATGACATAATGAGAGATATTAAATTTGGAGGGAATTTAAAGAAGGTTAATATGTGGCGTCTAAAGCTCCATTCCATCCGATCGAAAGCTTTTTCTAGGTCTATTTTAAGAAGCATGCTTGATGTGGAATTGAGTCAGTCTAATGAATGTTGAGATTAATAGGATTACATAATTAGATCTCTTCTCCAGCGATCTTCTTCTCCATTAACCCTTCATCGCTCTCTTTGCCACTCTTTCTCTCTCTTTCTCTACACACACATACACGAAGAGAGACACAGACATACATTCATCGCCCATTGACTTGACTTGCTAGTTTAACTGTAATACAATAAATTGTCTGAGTTTCGAGGCCTTTTTTTCTTGGGGTAAGTTTTCAAGAATTTGATTTCTTGGAGGAAGTTTTCAAGAATTTGATTTCTTTTTGGGACCTAAAAGAGACTACTTCTTCGTAGGCAAAGTGACCAGCAGTTCCCGTCGGCGAAATCCACTTCTGATAACCACTCTGAATCAGTTGTTTCTGAGAATTTGTTGAATAGCATCTCTTTCCATTTTTCCGACACCGGTGATAATAATTCTCCCACGAAGATTTCGATCCAGATTTTGGTCAATTCTCGCTGCCAGCTCATCGCAATCCATCATCGCCGGCCAGATTTCCGTTAACTTCAAGGGTTGCAATCTAGGTTCTATTATTCTTCTCTTGTCCTGATATTTTAATAGTTTGATATTTTAGCGTAATTGTATCCCCTTGTCTGCTTATTTTATTCTTAAATCTTTAGTTAGTATTTGCCCTAACATTATCAAATTAATTGTATTAGTGATAACTTTGCCTACTTGTTTATATTGTTATCTATCTGTTTACATCTTTATTTTGAATCTTTATTTAAAATATTCCCTAGTAGTTCTCTTCTAGTTTTGCACATTTTCTTTGTGACCTTTAGTTGTAGATTATAGTCCCCTTTAGCTCTTGTATTGTATTTCTTCACCTATTTTTCTGTTCTTTAGTTGTAGATTATAGTTACTTTAGTTCCTTTGTTTTATTTCTTCACCTGTTTTTCTGATCTTTAGTTGTAGATTATAGTTCCCGTTAGTTCCTTTATTTAATTTCTTCACCTGTTTTGCGACCTTTAGTGGTAGATTATATTTCGTAGTGACTCCTAGATTATAGTGGCTTTGGTGAATGATAGTAGGGTAAGGTCTTGTCCTCGAGGGTGTCAGCACGGGGGAGGGGGTGCGGGGGTTAAGAGGGCTAAAGGAGCTACTAGGCTGAGAGTGGGGTCTTGAAACATAGGAACTTTGACTAGAAAATCTGTAGAGTTAGCGAAGATTCTCGAGAAAAGAAAGATTAATATAGCTTGTGTACAGAAGACTAGGTGGGTAGGAGATAAGGTGTGTGATGTGGGCAGTTTCAAACTATGGTATTCTGGAAGGGTGGGGGGCAGAAACATGGTAGGTATCTTGGTTGATAAGTACCTCCGTAAACTAGTGGTGGAGGTTAGGAGGGTGAATGACATGATGATGACTATTAAGCTAATTGTTGGAGGTTTTACTTTGAACATAATTAGTGCGTACGCACCCCAAGCAGGCTTGGATGAGGAAGTCAAGAGGCATTTCTGGGAGGATTGGGATTAGATAGTGCATGGTATCCCGCATACCGAGAAGCTTTGCATAGGAGGAGATTTCAACGTCCACATTGGAGAGACGTCTGGGGGGTATGATGATGTGCATAGTGGCTTTGGATTTGGAGATAGAAATGGAGGAGGAACGTCTCTGCTGGACTTTACTAGAGCATTTGATTTGGTGATAGCAAACTCGAATTTCCAGAAGAGGAGGGAGCACTTGGTCACCTTTCAGAGTTCGATGGCCGAGACTCAGATTGATTATTTACTCTGCAGGAAGTCCGATAGAGGTCTTTGCACGGATTGCAAGTTCATCCCGAGTGAGAACCTCTCGACCCTTCATAGGCTCCTGGTGATGGACCTTGAGATCACGAGGAAGAGGAGGAAGAGGGCGATGTATATCCAACATAGGATCAAGTGGGGAGCCTTGACGGAAGCTAAAGCGCAGGAGTTGGGGTCAAGTTGTTGACTATGGGGGCTTGGAGGAGGAGTGGGGACACAAGTGCTATGTGGACAATGGCTGCACAGTGCATTAGGGAAGCTGCGAGAGAGGTATTAGGTGTCTCAAAGGGTTACTCTGGTGGTCACAAGGGAGACTGGATGGTGGAATGGTGAGATGCAAGGAAAAGTGGAAACCAAGAAAGCGGCGTATCTGAAGCTAGTGAAAAATGTAAACGAGGAGGAGAAGAGGGCAAATAAGGAGCATTATAAGTTGGCTAAGAAAGAGGCAAAGCTAGCAGTTACGGCGGTCAAGACTACAACTTTTAGTCGTTTGTATAAGGAACTCGAGGGCCGAGGTGGGGATAAGAGGTTGTTCAGGCTAGCCAAGGTGCGAGAAAGGAAGGCGCGTGACTTGGACCAAGTGAAGTACATCAAGGACGAAGAAGGTAGAGTTTTGTTAGATGAGGGGCTTATTCGTCGGAGATGGCAGATCTATTTTCATAGTCTCTTGAACGAGGAGGGGGACATGAGCATTGTACTGGGTTATTTGGAACTCTCTGGGAGTCGTTGTGATTTTGGGTATTGTAGGCGGATTAGAGTTGATGAAGTTGAGGGGGCTATGCATAAGATGAGCAGGAGCAAAGCGACCGGGCTGGATGAAATCCCGGTGGAGTTTTGGAAGAGTGTGGGCAAGGAAGGCTTGGAATGGCTCACTAGGTTATTTAATGCCATTTTTAAAACGAAGAAGATGCCCGAAGAGTGGAGGTGGAGCACGATAGTTCCTGTATACAAGAACAAGGGTGATATCTAAAATTGCAATAACTATCGTGGTATCAAGCTGCTTAGCTATACTATGAAAGTCTGGGAGAGAGTGGTAGAGCTAAGGGTGAGGAGGAGTGTGTCTATCTCCGAGAACCGATTTGGGTTTATGCCGGGGCGTTCGACTACAGAAGCCATCCACCTTTTTAGGAGATTGATAGAGCAGTATAAGGAGAGAAATAAGGACTTGCATATGGTGTTCATCGACTTAGTGAAGGCGTACGATAAAGTTCCAAGGGAGGTTTTATGGAGATATTTGGAAGCTAGAGGTGTACCTGTTACCTATGTTAGTTTGATTAGGGACATGTATGATGGAGTAAAAACCCGAGTGAGGACGATGGGTGGGGACTCGGACCATTTTTCGGTTATGATGGGGTTGCATCAGGGGTCGGCACTCAGCCCTTTTTTGTTTGCTCTGGTGATGGATGTACTGACGTGCCATATCCAAGGGGAGGTGCCGTGGTGCATGCTATTTGCACATGATATTGTTTTGATTGATGAGACGAGAGACAATATGAACGCACAATTAGAGGTATGGGGGAAGACCCTGGAATCTAAAGGTTTCAAGTTGAGCAGGACCAAGACATAGTACTTGTAGTGTAAGTTCAGTGGTGAGACTCAAGAAGGGGAAGGGGAGGTGAGGCTGGACTCACAGGTCATCCCTAGGAGAGGAAGTTTTAAGTACCTTGGGTCTATTATTCAGGGGGTGGTCAGACTAACGATATTATATAGGGCTGAGTGTTGGCCAGTCAAGGTCGCTCATGTCCAGAAGATGAAGGTAGCAGAGATGAGAATGTTGATATGGATGTGCAGGCACACCAGGTTAGATAGGATCATAAATGAGGTTATTCACGACAAGGTGGGTGTGGCCCCTATTGTGAACAAGATGCGGGAAACGCGGCTTAGGTGGTTTGGTCATGTGAGGAGGGGGAGCACAGACACCCCGGTGAGGAGGTGTGACAGGTTAACATTTGAGGGCCTACGGAGAGGTAGAGGTCGGCCTAAGAAAAGGTGGGGAGAGGTGATTAGGCAAGACATGGCGCAGCTTCAGCTGACCGAAGACATGACCCTTGATAGGAAGGTATGGAGGTCAAGGATTAGGGTAGTAGAGTAGGTAGTCTAGAGTGTTCGTAACAGTAGTATTGGCACGCAGTCTTGCTTTCTGTTGGTAGTAGATTTTTATGACTAATCATTGTTTTCTTTCATTGTTGATCACCTTACTATATATCTTGTTATTTTTATTCTGCTTTTGTATGGCTTTTTGGTACTGTCCCTTCTTGTCTATATTTTTATTAATGTGGTGCTTATACTTGCTTGAGCCGAGGGTCTATTGGAAACAGCATCTCTATCCTCACAAGGTAGGGGTAAGGTTTGCGTATACACTACCCTCTCCAGACCCCATGATGTGGGATAATACTGGGTATGTTATTGTTGTTGTTGTATTTTAAGAAGCATGCTCGAGCATTTTGATTTAGAATTTCTAAAATGGTTTAGTAATTTTTGAACTATTATGGCATTATCTGCCGCCCTTCGATATTTTTGGAAAGCAGACTGAGTAGAGTGAATAATATTATCAAGAAGAGGTTTCATGCGATTAACAATTATTTTGGTGATGACTTTGTATAGAGTGTTACATAAACTGATAGGTCTAAAGTGATTCATAGTTGAAGGACTCTTAATTTTTGAAATTAAACAAATATATGTCTTGTTTAATTCTATGGGAATATGGCCATGTTGGAAAATATTTTTGCAGAATTGAATTACTGAGTGTTTTATTTTAGGCTAGAATTTTTGATAAAATCATGGATGGAGTCCATCGAGTCCAGGTGATTTTAGGGGTTGGAAAGAATGTACAACGTCTATGATTTCTTAATCAGTCACTGGCATAGATAATTTAGTAGCATCAGCTTGTGATAGGGTATTGTAATTAGTAGTATGGTAAGCCTTGTAAGAGGTTGTATATGAGGTTGTATAAAGGTTTTGATAATAGTTCGTAAGTAATTGCTGAAGTTGCTCGTTGTCTGAAATTCAATTTCCTGAAGAATCTTTGAGAGCAATTATTCTATTGCGTCATCTTCTTTTTAGGGTAGACAGATAAAAAAATCTTGTATTGGCGTTCCCTTGGTTAAGCCAATTAACGCGCGATTTTAATTTCCAAAAATCTTCTTCAAGGGTAAGAAGTTGATTATATTGGTATATAAGGTCTTTTTCTAAGTTTTGTAAGAATTGCTAGTGGGGTAATTTGGATATTTTTGAATTTCGGCTAGTCGTGCCTTAATATTATTCTTTTTATAAAAGATATTACTATATGAGTCATTGTTACATATTTTGACTAGGGTAGTAAAATTATCAATTGCCTCTAGTATTGTTCCTCACACTAGATTTAAATTAATCTCATCACCAGTAGAACTTATTAAAAGTTCCTCACACACTTGAGTCTCGGGTTCATTGATTTCTTCAGGAATCTCAGAACTAATCAGATCTTAGGTCTCTTCAGGAGATCCCTTCATAATATCATTTTGATCATTTGTCGATTTTCTTTTTCTAGGATTTTTATCCTTAGAACCCAAAGGTCTACCACACTTCAGGCGTGCTTTAGGTTCATAAGCTCTCATGCTAGTAGATGGTCCTTCTGGGACATCAATTCGGATAGGCATATTCTCTGCACGGATATGCGACTTAGTTATCCTTTTCAAATCAGTAAATGCGTCTGGCATTTGATTTGCTATATTCTGTAAATGGATGATCTTCTGGACCTCCTGATTATATATAGGGGTACGTGGATCAAAGTGAGATAATGATGAAACTTTCCACACAATTTCTCTTTTGATTTCCTTTTTCTCTCCCCCTAATTGTG